AAAAAAAAAAAAAAGATGATGACCTAAAAGTGGTGTAAGATAAAGACAACAGTATGTTTCAAGAAGAAGAATGTGATCTGCCATTTCAATTAAACAGAATAGACAACTTAGATAAAATCTAAAAACTAATCTAATGAATAAGAATTTAAATAAGCCTTTTCAGTAGAATGAGCTAGAAAGACTGAGGACTCATACTACTGGCAAGACATGGCATGAATTGTAAGGTAAGTAATAAGAGAGGGGAAATACAGACCACAGGGAATATGCCCCAAGACCTCTAGTGGAAGAGAAGAAATCACGAATAGCAGAGGGCCCCTTATACATTGTTTTTTCTCCTACACATATAAATGATAGAGTTTAATTTATATATTAGGAACAGTAAGAGATTAACACTAAGAATACAATTATAACAATAAATGCAGTGAAAATTACATGAATGTGGTCTCATCTTTTTATCTCTCCCAAAACATAGTATCATACAGGTTTTTCATTCCCTAGCTGACTGGTTAACTGAAAACATAGAACACAAAACTGAGAAAAATGAAAATACAGGTAAATGCAAACCACTGGACTCCATTTTAGAAATCTTTCTTAATAAATGGATTAGCTCATTCTTATAAATTTAACTTCCCATACTGAACAGGAACATAATAGGGAAAAAACCTAAAAACATTTTTCTGTTTACATAGTTATCTAAGTGATTTTTAATCATTAATTTACATGAGGCTGCTAATATATTTTTTAAGAAATACTCTGCTATTATCACTGAATCAATAATCTCTGGGGACACCAGTGTTGTTTTCTAAAAATAAATTTGGAGAAGATAATTCCCTAAGCTTTACAATTTTTAGGCTTTACTGGTATGCCAGAGGAGGTTGTGGGGGAAGTCATTTTGAAAGAGGAGGCCATAGCAGATACTAAAAATAACACTGTTATGTAAAATCTATTTTCTTTGCAAAAGAAATTTAAGTGCTAGTTTTTCCTACTTTTTCAGAATATTAATAAAAGAAAATTGTTGCCTGGGAGGACAAGAATATGTTAACTTTCCCTCCGTTAACTTTTTGATAATATGAAAGAGAATAATTTGAAGTAATTTCTAATCGTTACTGTCATTGGAAAACATTAATTGCCGGTTTAACAATGTCTGCATTGTTAAATTTTTTAGGGTAAAATTTCCATAAAATGTAAAACAAATAAACAAATTTTTAGGCTTCGAACTCCATGATTACATAGGAAGACATACTGTACATACAAAGTAATGTGTAAAACATTCCTTCACTTTTGGCTCAAATTCCTTTACAGTTCTATCACATGTAAACTAGTTTCAATTAAACATCAGCCTACGCAGTCACCAGACAACTTATCAAAAACCAATCTCTCCAGCTTTAAAAAGCACCTACTACAAATATGAGAATACTATTTCTAGGTAGATAGATAATACCGCAATAAAAAACGCTTTTTATACCATTTAAAAATGGAAGAAAATTTAATGGTTAAGGGAAAGAACTAAGAACCAAAGATATACACGCATACACCTATGTGCATACATGGACAGACACACAGGTCAATGAAACTTTTTCACAAAAGATCATTGTTCAATGAAAAAAGTACTGTATCTTTTTCAGTACAATTATTCAAAAGTAATGGCATGTTTAATAAGCATTTTTTGAAAGCATAATAAATGTACCTGTAGTACATAGTCAAGGGCTATGTGTCGAAAACATTTTCTTGTTGCTGTAAGAATGTTTGTAGCTTCTTCAACTTCATGCTGTTTATTTCTTTGTACTTGAGCATTTTTTACTAATGCATTTTCTTTTTCTTCACTGACTTTTTCAAATTGCTTCTTGGCATCTTTGAATTTTCTAAGATCTCTAAAATATTAAATATTTGTGAAACTTTCATAAAACTATCTTGATCAAAAACTTTAGGAATGTATCATTTAGAATTTAACTCATGTATTTTTTGAGTCACTACACACTGACATTCCAATAGAACTTCCAACTAAAATATATATTGTTTCTCAATGATAAATCATTTCCAATATAGTCATTGAACATGTCCTCATTAAAATCTGTATATTTGGGGTGAAACTGAAGTATCACATTAACATTATGAAACATAAAAGCAAAGTTAATTATTTTTTTGCCAAAGACAATTTCAGAGCATGTAACTTCTCTAACCAAATGATTTATAAACAGTAAAAAGCCTATTTAAAATGCAAACTCTAAGGCTCCTCTTCTGGTCTTAGGGCTAAATACTAGAAATCTAAGGATTATCTTTTTAAGACATGCCCTTAATGTTACTAATATGGGTAGTTCATACTTCAAGATACATTCATTTCTTGCTGAAGGAAATTACTGGGTAAAAGAACATAAATGTATTCTTAAAACACATACAACATAATGCTTTCTAAAAGAATTGTAGCAGTACAGGGAAACAATATCCATTTCATTTCAAAGACTGAAATCTAAAACCCTTGATTAATTAATGATCTAAAGTAAGTCACATAACAATCCTTTACTTTTCCTACTAAGAAATTAAGCAAAATAATTTGATGACAAATGACTTCAAGATAACAAAATGTTTAAGAAAAGCTTAATTTTTTTGTAAAAAGGCATTATTTTTATGAAGCTGAACATTCTCAAAGCTAGCTTATTGTGAAGTGATTTTTAAATGTCACCTTTAGTGCAATTTAACCTCCTAAGATAGTAGTGCATTTTTTTCATGAAATATGACACTATTTATAGCTTATATCTGTAATTTACCCTGAATGCTGTATCATAATTTATCTGTAACTTTATAGTTGATAGTTTACATAGTTTCAGTCAGAAATTAAAAGAGAAAAAGTAGTCATAGAGAATAGGAAAACTTTCCTACCTTTATTACACAGATAAAATAGGATGAATATGACAGAAAAGGTTCATGTGTTAAAAAGAATGTATTTTCATTATTCATCCTCATATGTTTCATTATTTTTTTCAAATAAAATGCCATAAGAAACAATGGAAAAATTAGTCTAAACTATAATAAACTAATAATATTTCAACCACTTTTGGGACTTACTTGTTTTTGAAAGGTCACTTATTCACATTATAGTATCTTTAATCCAAAGCAATTATAGTAACATGACCTAAACATCTATTTCATGATATAAATGAAAGGTATGAAGTTGATTACCTTACAGAATAATTCTGAAATGCAATACACATTTCACAAAGGAAAAAGAAAAATTATAACTCAAGATATTTTCAGTACTTCATGGCTCATAATTTCATTAAAAAGATATCAACTCCCAAACATGATCATTAACTAGTTGCTTGTCTTTCCTTTTTTCTTCACTGCAATAACTTACTCTTTAACAAAATTTTGAAGCTGTGCCTTAATTGATCTCTGAGTTTGGTCAAACAGGATCTAAAAAATAAAAATACAACATTAAACAATTAGAAGATAAACAAAGTAAGTAATTTCCAGATAGTTCTATAAATATCACATATTTCCATCAAAGAGTTCAATTCTAATAACACCTGTATTTTTTATTAAAGACTACTTTAAAATAAACATTTAAAAAGGAAATTAAGTTCCTCCCTGGTGGCATAGAAGTTAAATCTCAGTGCTATCACTGCTATGGCCTGAATTCAATTCCCAGCGAGGGAGCTGACCCACATATGGCACAACAGATCTCTCCTTGCCTGCTGCTCCTCTCAGCAGTGTATTTCAGTAAATCCACCTATTCTCCCCATTCTGTCTCTAATGAACCCTCCCACCCTACCCCACACCTCTGGCCTACACACCAGTTATATGCATAATAAATCTTTTTTAAAAAATAGGAAATTAAAACTGAATTTCAAGCCAATTTTATCCACCTATAAATAATAAAATCACTTTCATTTATAAAGGAAAACAAATCTACTTTAATGTTTAAATAAAATGCTCAAACCGTAAAATGTCTCATCACCTTCACTCATTCAGGTTTGGGAAACAACCTAAAAAAGTAAAGTATTCTCCTCCATGTACTTATTGCAATATATCAGAACAATCAAATGAAAATAACTGCAGAAATGCTTTATACCATGGGTAGAGGTTAGACATTTAGAAGCCCTGGAAATTTAAATATGTCACACATTGATTCAAGTAAACATCACATACCCCTTTCAGTTATTAAGAGACTGCTAAAATTATAGATGAGAAAAACATTTTATTCCTTACAATAATTATTTGCCCTACTTAAATGAAGTGTGTAAATATTTAACTCTGACAGCTCTTTGTGTGATAAATTTCACAGGGTTTCAACGGAAATTCAAAGAACTTTCATTAACAGATATACTTTATACAGGGTTTAAAACAGATAACAGGTAAACAAGCAGAGAAGCCAGTATTTCAAAGCAAAAAAGATACCCATGTCACTCTACTAATTAAAAAATATCAATTTCATTCTCTGAAAATTTGCTTTTAGTATAATCCTATGTTCTCTCCTAAATAACACACAAACACATGCACACACACACAAAATAAGTTTAGTACAGATTTTAAAATCTGTCAAATTGTTGCAAGAGGGTGTTTTTTCTTTTTTTTATGTTGAATGCAAAGTATAAATCCAAAGTAAGCAGAGGGAGAAAAATTTAAAAGATCACAGTAGAAGTCAACTAAACAGGAAATATCAAAAGAGTATCAAATGAAACCAAAATTTAGTTATTCAAGAAAATCTGAACAATTGATAAGCTTCCAGTGAAAGTGATCAGAGAAACACAGATATACAAATTTTAAATAGTAAGGAGACTGACTTTACAATTTCTATCCATAAAATAAAGGATAGTAAAGGGAGTTAGAAAATAATTTTATACTATAAAGTCAGTAAATAAGATGGGTCAATTCTTTGAAAGACACAAATGACTAACGCTCACTCAAGAACAAACTGATAATGTAGACAGAATTAAAGAAATAGAATCTATAGTTAAAATCCTCCACAACATAAAAAGTTTAAAACTATACTTACATAAAACCTAACATTCCACTCCCAGATATTTTCCCAAGAGGAATGGAAACTTAGTTTCACACCAAAACCTGTTTGTGAATGTTCACAACAGTTTCATTCTAATTGCTAAAAACTGGAATCAACCCAAATGTCCTTAGAGAAACAAACAATGAAACACCATGGAAATACTATTCAGTAATGAAAAGGAAAGTAATACATGTAACAACAGAAACTAATCGTAGTGTATTTTTGCTAAGTAAAGTAAGTCATTCAAAAGGCTGCAAGCTATAATGATTCCAATGCCACAACATTTAGTTAAGGCAAAAAAAAAAAAAACAACCATAGGTGTGAAGAACAAATTAGTGATTTTTCAGGTGGTAGGATACTGAAGAAAAGACTGGCTAACAATGGAGTAGCATGAGCATATGTTTATGGCTAATGGGGCTATCATGTATGTATGTACCACAACGCAGAGACCCAACTTCAGGATTCTGTCAAAACTCATAAAATGGTAATTCACAAGAATCAGCAGTATTATACTTAAATTTTAAAATAAGCAAAATATGAACAACAGTATAGATATGAACCAACATATTTTCAAAGAATTAAGGAGAGACAAATAGCATGATGTGGGCTGATTGAAAGTACACACATAGAAACATTAAGTCAACAAAAAGGAAATGCCCATTCTTTTAAGCAGTGCTAATGAACCCCAATCACATAACAGAGGATAAAACAAGGGTACAGTTATCTTATAGAAGATATTCTCTGATCTCAATGACCTTAAATTACACTATAAAAAAAATGAGAGAACCACTGATAAACACTTAACAATACAGATCAATTTCAACAACTCTACATTTGGTTTGCTGCAAATGCTGTCCTTCCCCCTTTTCCTCTTCAGCTAATGTCCTGCTCCATGCACCCAACAGTTTTACCATGCTCACCAGAATCAGCAGTTCCAGAAACTGTAGGAAGGATGCCGCAAGAACAGCTCAAAACTCAATGTGAGCTTTGTTTCTGAAGGGGACAAGGAATATTTTAACCACTTCAGCCTGATCCTCACACCAATCACAGGCATGTTCTGTTGGATTACTCCAAGAACCTTGTAATGGAGAATATGATGCAGATGCTGGTGAAGCTGGCCAAGTCTAGAGGTGTGGATGCTGCCCAGGGTCATACATTCAGTGGGGAGAAGATTAACTTCACTGAAGACCAGACAGTGCTGCATGTGACCCTACAGAATGGTTCAAACACTCCCATTTTGATGGATGGCAAGGATGTGATGCCAGAAGTTAACATGGTCTTGGAGAAGATGGTATTTCTGCCAGCAGAGTCAGAGCACTGACTTGAAGGGGTATTCAGATAAGGTTATCATGTATCAACAACATCTCTGACCTGGGGCCCCTTGTGGTGACAGAAACCCTCAAGCTTTGCTCTTTAGGAGGTCTCCAATATCAATGGGCCCCACATTGCCAAAACCATGGCTGTGTACTGAGCCCTGAAACCTCCTTATTCATTATCACTTCTAAGATCTTAACCACCCAGGAAACTATCACAAACAGAGACAGCTGAAAAAGTTGTTTCTTCTGTTGACTAGAAGACCCTTCTGAGGTTTTGAAGCGCGCTATTGCCCTCTCTACCAACATGACTGAAGTGAAAGAGTTTGCACAACTGAAGTCAAAGAGTTTTTGAAACTGGCACAAAATGTGTCTGAATTTGGGATTGGGTAGGAGGGCACTGTGGTCAGCCACTGGACTGTCCCACACGAAGGGTCTACAACTTCAAGCAGCTGTTTTTGGGAACTCACTGGATGGACAGTCATTTTCATAGGAAGCCCCTGGAGAAGAATGGCCCCATCCTGCCTGCTTTGTGAATGTCTAGCTTATTAACTACTTCGGGTGTGAGATGTAAGCCATGCTGCCCTAAAACCAGTACATGCATCACTATGCTGCCTGCTTCCAGGAGGGGGACATGAATCCAAAGGGAAGTCTATCACCAACTACGGCATCCACATACACCACCAGACGGGTATCACTGTGCAGTGGGAGCCAGGTAATGGCCAGCATGCCTTCTACAAGATTACCCACCAACGCACCAAGATGGTACCCTGTGACTTCCTCATCCCAGTCCAGACCCAGAACCTGATAAGGAAGGGTTTGCATCATGTTCCTTGCTAACTTCTTGGGCTAGGAAGGAGATGCAGGCCACAGGGAAGAATCTCACAGACTTTAAGAAGCTGTTGCCACACAAGGTCTGTGAAGGAAATCACCCAACCAACTCTACTATTTTCACCAAGTTCATTCCACTCACTCTGGGAGTCTTGACTGCCATGTGCAAGCACGAGATCTTTATGCAGGCTGTCATAAACAGCTCTGGTATATAAACAGCTCTGACGAATGGGGAGTGGAGTTGGGAAAGAGCTGGCTACGAAAACTGAGCTTGAGCTTGATAGCATCAGCTTCGTGACCTCTCACAGTTCCTCCACCAATTGTCTAATCAATTTCATCAACCAGGCATGTGAGGCCAGAAGCCAACAAACTCATGTCCCACCACAGACCCTGTTGTAACTAGCCCTTCTTGTCCCTCCTCACTAGTGTCTGTATTGCATGGTCCTGCCCAAAGCACTGAATGGTTGCTTTGGACCACAGCACTTTGGGGTAAAATGGTCTGCAACTCTCCATGTTCACAGGCCCTCTGTTTTACAATTAACTGGAATATTTCGGCACAACTGACCTATATTCACATTATTCCTACACCAGGTAGAAAAACTGCTGAGTGACAGAAGGCATACATACAAATATTATATGATACCACTTAAAGAAGTTATAGAACAAGCAAAACGAGTTATGGAAGAAAAGCAGAACAGCATTTGCCTTGGGGATATGGGTTGGGACATTCTGAGAAGAGGTATGGGAGCACTTTCTGGGTAGGTAATAGTAATAATTGTCATCTTAAAGAGGATTTGGGTTATATATGTGTGTGAATCTGACAAAATCCATTGAATAGTCCACTTAAGAAATACCTAAATTAACTGTATTTAGATTTAACTTAGGAATATTCACTGTAAAATTCTTTAGTAGTAAACAATATTAGATAAAGTTATCTCCCCAAATAAATAAATAAACAAGCAAATAAATAAGATAGATGGAGGCAAACACTTCCTAACATAAAACTCTACAAAGATGTCCTCACTGGTTTGGAATTCTACCAAATAGCTGACAGGAAGAATTCTATTCAAACTCTTACCAAGAAAATCTATTCTGTGAGAAATCCTTACCAAGTATGGTAAGGAAAACTACAAACCAACATCCCTCATGAAGACAGTTGCCAAAATCCTTAATGATATGTAACAATAAAGGACAATGCATCTTGACAAATTAAGATTTATCCCAGAAATACAAGACTGCTTTAACATACAAAAAAAAAAAATTCTATGTTAATAGAAGGAAAATTATACAACCATCTCAATAGATGAAAAAATTCAACTTTAATTCCTGATAAAAATTCTCAGGAATGAGAAATAGAAAGGACCTTTCTCAATTCCATAAAGGGCATATTATGCAAAACTTACTTCATATTTAATGATGAAAGATTACTTTTTTCTTTTTTTCAAATTTTGACATGTTAGTAGACAGTTTTTTGGTTTTTTTATTTTTTTTTAAGATTTTATTTATTCATACAGAACTGGGGTACAGGCCAGAGATGCAGAGGGTGAGAGGATTCACCAGAGAGCGGGGAACAGAACAGGCAGATTGATGAAATACACTGCTGAGGGGAGCAGCGGGCAGGTCAGGAGAAGTCTGCCGCGCCATGTGGATCTCCTCTGGGGCAAGCAGGAATCGAACTCATGTGGCTTAAGCTTCTTAGTGCTATGCTCTAACCCGCTGCGCCACCAGGGAGGGCCGATGAAAGATTACTTTTAACTTAGGATCAGGAACAAGACACAGATGTATACTCTTATCACTTCTATTCAACACTGTATTAAATCTCCAAGCATTAGAGCCAAGAAAGAAAAATGAAACAAGAAGTATACACATTAAAAAGGAAGAATATAAAACTCTGTATCCATACAAGCTACTGGATTGACTATACAGAATTGACTGTGTAAAAAATACTATGAAAACTACAGCAAAAAAATCTACTAGAACTAATAAGTGAATTTAGCAAGGTTGCAGAATCAATTTAATATATAAAAATAAGTATTTTTAGGGCCCTTCCTGGTGGCACAGCAGATTAAATCACAGCACTGAAGGGCCAAAGCCACTTCAACATGAGTTCAATCCCTGCCTGCCCCAGAGGTGATCCACATGGTATGGAAGACCTCTCCTGACCCACCCGCTGCTCTCCTCAGCAGTATACTTCAATGATCTGCCTGTTCTGCTCCCCACTCTGTCTCTGGTGAAGCCTCTCGATGCCCCTGCACTTCCGGCCTGTACCCCAGTGCTGTATGCACAATAAATCTTAAAAAAAAAAAAAGGTATTTTTAAACGAGCACAACCAGTTAGAATTTGATATACAAGACTTATACAGTGAAAACTACGAAACTTGCCATGAGAAATTAAAGAAATTTATTCAATGGAAAGACATATTATGTTCTCAGAGCAGATATCAATTTGGTAGATATTCTTACCAAACTGATCTATAAATTCAATGGAACTGCTCTCCAAATTTCAGTAGAAGTAGAAATGCAAACAACCTACAATAATCAAACCAACTACAAAATAAAGGGAACAAAGTTGAAAGACCTGTCCTACCTGATTTCAAGATTTATTATGAAAGCTACGTAATCATGGCTGTTGTGATACTGAAATCCAGACACAAGGGATCAAATAAAAAGAACAGAGTTCAGAGATGATACACACATATGGTCAATTTGTTAACAAAAGATATCAATAGGAAAAAGATAATTTTTTTCTTAAATTGTATTGGACCACACATATAAAGATAGAATATAATCTTAGTGAACTTGGGTAAGGCAAACATTTCTTAACAGAACACAAACAGAAAATTATGAAAGAAAAAAAAATCAATACATTAATTTTATCAAAATTTGAAAGTACTGCCCTTCAAAAGCTACTATTACACAAATGAAGGACAAACCAAAGACTGAGAGAAAATATCTGCAAAATATTTATGACAAATGACATACACCTGGAATATAGAAAGAACTTTTAAAACTAAGAAGATAAAATGATTGATTTCTTTTTTAGCATGGGCAAAAGAGCAGACATTTCACTAAAGAAAATACATGGATTGCAAATAAATGTGTGAAAAGATGATGCACAGTATCATTAAGAGATATGTGAATTCAAACCACAATAAATGTAAAAGAGCGATCACACCAAGTGCTGACAAATCATGTAGAACAGCTATAGCTCTCACACACTACTGGTATACAAACAACATGGAACCATTCCCAATTCTTACAGGTTTAATTTCTTTAGAAAAGTTAAAATTATCAAAAATTTAATATATAAAACATTAACATTGATATTATAAATATTAATAATAAAAAGAATCAAATCTTCTTTAAGAAATTAAGGAGTTTTAGCAATGTTTTAAAGTTTGCATTACACAATCAGTTTTATAAAATGCTAAACATAAATACTACCTACCAAATTAGCTGTTCTACCACTAGCTATTTATACACAAAAAAATAAAAATATGTTATAAAGAGCTTTACATATTTTTACAAGCAATTTTATTCTTAAAAGCTAAAACCCAGGAATAACGCAAGTGTTCACTGGTGGAGACTGTAAAATCTGTCTTAAAATATTATGGCAGTCTTCCTTCAAAAGGGAATCTGCTCCTCTTATTAGGAATGTACTGGTCACTGTGATTTTACTTCTAACAAACAGTACTGTGGAAGAAGTGCGTGCTTCTGAGGCTAGATCATGAAAAGCAAGCACCTTTTGCTTTCCTTACTCTTAGATAATTTCTTTGCATCCTCTTCTATTTCTTTTAAAATGTTTTGTGATTTTTCTTTGTATAGGTCCTTCACCTCTTTTATTGGGTTATTACCAGGTGTTTAAAAAAATTTTTTTGGTAGCACTGTAAATGAGATGGTTTTCTTAATTTCTTACTCTTCAAACTGATTCTCTGAATATAGAAAGGTCACTGATATTTTGTGTGCTGATGTTGTAGACCTGCTACTTTACTAAACACATTTTTGTTTTAATTAAACAATAAAATCTTTAGAAAGAAAAAAGGTAGAAATCTTTGTGATCTGGAATTTGGCAATGAATTCTTAGATATGACCCTCAAAAATGTAGAAGTAAGAGAAGAAAAAATAGAATACATCAAAATTAAAACTTCTGTGTATCAAAGGACAGTATTAGAGTAAAAGAAAACATTATATATCATATTTAATAAGGGTTTAATATCCATGATATAAAATGAATTCAATAAAAAAATTAATGGGCAATGACCTTGAATTAACAACAATAACAATACTGGGGAAGAAAATACACAAATGGCTAGTAAGGGATCATGTAAAGATGGTAAGCTACATTAGCAATTAGAGAAACGCAAGTCAAAACCACATGAAATACCACTTCACATCACATCTATCAAGACATCACATCTACCAAAATAATTTAAAACGTGAAAATTAGGAAATGCTGACAGAATATGGAAAACTGGTAGGGATATAAAATGGTGTATCTCCTGTGGAAAACAGTTTGGTAGTTCCTCAAAAACACAACAAAATTCCTACATGACTCAACAATTCACATCTAAATATCTATACCCCAAAGAAATGAAAGCAGAAACTTGTACGTGCCAATTTTGGTAGTTATAATTTGAAATTTAATTAAAATAAATATTACCATCTAACTTTGTCTTAATATGTTCACAAAAGTATTTTGTAAGAAAATCAAATAAAGAACCAAAAATTAGCAGATTTTATAAAGTGCTGGTTTTTTTAAGACAGCTACTGATAAATTTGGAAGCACTGAATAATTAAATGACAGTTAAACTTCTTAAATAGATATAAAAGTATAAATAGTTAAGAAGCTAATACACTTTTAGTAAACTTTCACAAAATTATTATAAGAAATTCCCTGCCATTCCACAAGTAGTAAATATCTCCCATTCTTGAAAGATAAGTGTTCTCAAATCTTAAAAACACATATAGCTCAAAGCAAAGCAGACTTTTGATATTTGCAATTAATTAGCAAAGGGAGCTATATTTGCAACAAATTTAAACATAAGTTTATAATGACTTTTACTTCTTTATTCTTGCATGTATCTAAAAGAAACAGCTAAATTTAGAATGACTTTTACTTCTTTATTACTGAAGTAACTGCTTGAAAACTTACAAGGGCATAAATAAAAAATAAATAAATAAATAAAATAACTTGATGGTCCTCCCTTGTAGCACAGCAGGTTAAAGCGCAGCACTAAGAAGCTGGGGCCACTTCAGCAAGACTCCGATCCCCACCTGCCCCAGAGGTGACCACATGGCATCGCAGACTTCTCCTGACCTGACCATTGCTCCCCTCAGCAGTGTACTTCACTAGATCTGCCTGTTCTGCTCCCCACTCTGTCTCTGATGAATCTTCTCACCACCCCTGCACCTCTGGCCTGAACCCCAGTTCTATATGCACAAATAAATAAATTTTTAAAAGTAAATAAATAAATAAACTTGATATTAAGTTCACATAGTAGAATGGAAAAGAAAATGTATATACTTCTTTCACACACACACATTTTAAATGAACCCAATAAGTGAAAGCTGTTAACAAGCCAAGTTACTAAATTCCAAGTTAAAAAATTTTGTAAAATATTGCCACTCAAGAAAAGTACTAAAATATTGATATTATGATAGTAAAACCTACATACTGAAACTTACTGTGTGAAAATTTATCATCTCTTGAAGACTGTCAGAAAACTTGGTCAAACTTGTCTATGAAAAAGAAACCAAAAGAAAATTAAGTCATTTTAAGAGCTGCTAAAATAGACCACAAATATATTACTTTACCATTTCTGCATAAAGACCAAGTTAGAGTGTAAACAATAACACTGATTCTAAAGGCAATTCCCACTAACCCATGGACATGCTCCAAGAGAAGTTAAGACTGTAAATACTGCCATGAAACCCTAGAAGAAGTTAAAAAAAAAAAAAGTGCTATCCTATTAATAGTATTAAGCTAATAAATAAAATTGGCATTATAAACAAAGACAAAATTAAGTATTATCAACACTATGTTCACTTTGGCATCTATGGATCAAATAATCATTAAACCACACACCCATTCCTTCAACTGCTATTCTTCATGAAAGGAAGATCCTAATACCATACAGTATACAGTAGGCCTATGCTAACCCACCATTGCTGACCAAAACTTTAACCTGAAGGCTCCCACACATGCAGTGAGATACTATTCTTAGGTTAATGCTCTCTACAGTTACCTCTGTATGCTGCTCCTAGAGCATGATTCTGCCCTCTCTGTCAGACCCCCTGGTAGATGCTTCAGCTCCCTGGCAGCAATTAAACTTACACTGACAATGCAAATCAATCATCAATTTCAAACTATCCTAGAAAACAGGATAGTTTTCTAGGATTGCATTGTTGCATACAATTTTCATTTATCATTTAAACTGTAAATAAAATTTATGTAAATTTTACATAAATGTAAATAAACAAAATGTATCACTTTAACTATAATTTTAATAATACTAACCTCAACTACAGCATCTTCACTAGAATACTGTGCCAGGTCTCGAATCCCATTCATGAATTGTTTATTTGCAACACAAAAGGCTTTCCCTGTATCAATCATTGCAATACAAAGCTTCACAAGCTGGAAAAAAAAAAAACAAAAACTACAAGTTGAAAATAATTTTACAAATTACTTAGTTTAACAATTACTAGCAGTAACCAGGAGTAAACCTTATTAAGATAAATTAGGGTTCACCAATAAACCCAAAATAGACTAATTGAAAATTGTGTTTTTTCTTTGTTTACAAGGTAATTTCACTGGAGAATTGTACTCAAAAAGTTGATCTTTCAGGGCACAGAGCCTGTCTGATAACAACAAAAAAATCATTTTATTGAACCAAATTTAAACCAATAAATTTGACTTCATAAAACTTATTAAGTACTTCCTAAGAGGACAAAAGGGAGCTTTCTTCCTCAGTACTATAAGACATTTTAATTTTTTAAAAATTGTGGTATGTTGAAATAAACTGGTACACAAGGTACCAGTTCAGCAATGTCTGAACTGATTGATTAGCCATATTGCTCCAAAGTGTTCCATTCTAAACATCACACTTAAGTTTTTTTTTCTCAGTTTATTTCCCTCTTTTTTTTTAAATAATATAATAGTTTATTTTTACATCATTTTGTGCCATCACACTTAGTTTTAGGCCTGAAGTTTTCTTTTGTCTTTCTTGTTCACTTCTTTCTTCTTTCCCTCTCCCTTTCTTCTCTTTCATTTGGATACAGAATATTTTCTTTAAACAGACAAAATATTGAGTGGTCAAATATTAAAAAGCAGATGCATTTCTATACAGCACAAACATAACTAGTATGAATAACAAAAAAAATGCATGAGTGAGTGAGTGAAAACCACCTAACCTAGATTAAGACCTGAAGCATTCTGAGAAAAAGTAACAGCACCTGAGAAAAGCCCTGAAGACCAATAGGAATTCAATCAGATAAGGGCTGAGCACTTTTCTCAGTGAGTCTTTTCTCACTTTGAGATAATTTTTTAAAAAAAAAATTACCTCAGTCTTTTAGTTTCCTAATTGAATTATTATATCTTCATTCCATCCGAAATAAACACTACTAAAATATTATGCTAAGAAGAGTGTACACTTAGCACATTAATCCCCAGAACCTTACAGGATATAGGAAACTATAGTAGCTTACTGCAGTATGAAAATGTGAAGCATTCAAAGCTTGATGCTGAAAATGTATACAAGGGTCAGATCAGGAAAAGCCTGTGTGCAATGCTAAAATTTTCACACTTTCTATGCAAGTAAATAGGAAACAATTAGAGACAGTAATTGGGTGAGTTAATCAGAGTTCCATATTAGAATGATGACCTAAATGGAGAAAAAAGTAACAAGGACATAGAAGAAAAAAAAATAAAGGGGATTAGACTAAAAACTATGAGAACCTGGATTAGTAGGGAGAGGGGAGACAATCCAAGAATGTCAGTCAAGAATCCATGTATATTTATGCAGACTTTGTCCTACCAAGAGGAAAAGTAGGGCCTGAAATCCAACTTAGTATTGTTGTGGAGAGCTACATCTGCAATTTGGACAGACAATATACTGCCCAGACAGCACAGGTTCATCAGAAAATAAAGTGTCAGTGCTTAAAGTTGTACCTAGACAGAAAGCAGAAGGCAAAAAGCTGTAAAGTGAGGGCCCCATCAAGAATTAAAGAGAAAGGCAACAGAAAAATTCCACCAAAGTCAAGAAAAAACATAGTATCAATAATTATATGATGATTAAATGGAAAATTCATAAAGGTCAAGATTTTCCAAAAAAAATAAGTTTGGTGACAGTCATCAGCATCCCTGACTAGGAGTCTGTAGCCAGATAACAGTGAGTTATGAACTACAAATGCAGGCAAACTGATTATTGGTTCCCAAAATATATGATACAGAATATATTACAGGAACATTCTATACCACAGTAAGAATTTTGTACTCTTGCTGCCCAGGTTTTTCTTATTGTTGTTTGTTTTTGGTTTGGTTTGGTTTGGTTTCTGTTCAAGTGAAACTTAACAGAAGCTTAAAGGAGAGAGATAACTACAGCAAATTCCTAGCGCTCAGGGGACTCAGCAGACAACTGCTTGCCCTTTGCTTTATTTCATATCTGTGGTCAAATAATCGCTGTGTCTATTGTCAAAGTCCATGCCAGAGAGACCCTTTACTCTCATAGGAATTCCATTATTAAGATTGATCTCTGCACCTCATAAGAGGCTACATCAATCTTACTAGAAGATTGACAATCTAATAATAATCAAGGTGAGTGAACCGAAAAGGAATCTAAATTTGGTGCCAACAGCATTCTTGGAGCGTCCCAGTCAGTCTGCAATGCTGAAGCTGTTGAGAATGTGGTGTCCCTACATTACTTCCATATTGCTGGAAATTCTGAACTAATTGTTTCTGGTTTCCCACTTTCAATGTCATCAATGGTGGCTCTCACACTGGCAACAAGCTGGCAACACAGAGTTGATGATTCTTCCAGTTGGGACAGCAAACTTCAAAGAAGCCATGCATACTGAAGTGGAGATTTACCATTTCCTGAAGAAGTCATCAAGGAGAAATACCAACAAAATGACATCAGTGCAAGGACAAAGTCAGGTTTACTCTCAACATCCTGGAGATGGAACTGCTGAAGAACACCACTGGAACAGCAGTGGTAAAGTCAGCTATACTGGCAAGGTCCTCACGGGCATAGATGTGGCTGCATCTGAGTCCTTCCCACAAGGTAAGTAAAACCCGGACTTCAAGGTACCTTCTACAACCCTAGCAGGTAATCACACCTCACAAGCTGAGCAGGCTATAAAAGTCTTTTATCAAAAACTACCCTAACCAGTAGCATCTACCGAAGACCCCTTCACTCAGGATGACTAGGAAGCAGGGAATAAGTTCACTGCAGTGCAGGAATCCAGGTAATGGGGAACTCCTAGTACTGAGCAACCCAAAATGAATTTCCAAAGCTGTTAGTGAAAAGTCCTGCCGCCACCCAGTCCTGCAGTGAACCAGAATGGTTCCATGACCAAGTCGTTGCAGGCATGCAAGTTGGTTGCCCAGTGGCTGGGGTGTCATGGTGTTTCATCACTCCAGGGACTGAGGACACCTTCATCACTCACCTAGTGGTGAGGCAGATCTAGACAGGGTAGATCAAGACTGGTGTACCTTGCTGAGCTATGCGTTTTGCCAAGATCCTCAGAATTGAAAAACGAGGCAATTTCTAGCAGAAACTTCAGAAATCACCTAGTCAATGAGTTTAGGAGTACAACCCCTAGCCCTTCACACACTAGTGTTTACTAAGACCTCCCTCTGCTCCTGATGTACACTGGCACTTAAGATCCCCAGTCCACCCTGGCAGGACCTCTCCCACCCATGTGATGTTCTTACAGCTTCCTCAGAGTGGCTGTGGAAGCCAAACTTGACTATCTTGACTCCTGTTGTCAACCTAGTTCTGTATCACGAGTGGTCCAAATTGTTGTCATTTCACTTTCCACCAAGTGTCTGGAGCCACATGATGTCATATTGAAATCACCAAGGTGCCCATAGCAAGATCCCCATGGGTATGGGTATTGTGTGCAAAATAAAAATAACTCAGTGACTTAAAAGGGGGGGGAGGAGCAACGTCCTGAGGAATTAAGAATTTTGAATTACACAGGAAAAGGGGTACTTTATCATTCAAAGGGAGAAAAAACAAAAGATGAGGCAGATTCTGCTGTTTCTAATTAAAAGCTAGAAATAAAGGTACTCCCACGAAAAGAGAGAGTCAATGTCATCTAATAAGAAGGAAGAACAAAGTGGTCAGTCTTGACAAAACAGTAAAGTACAAGACCTGCTAAAAATAACAAATTACCTTATTAAGTCTTGGAAAAACTGCTTTGTATCAAGAAGTCCAGGAATGAATAGCTCTAGCCCCACCAATTAGTTTCACCAACTTTAATAGTGTACTTTCTATAAAGTTTTATGACCCAGAAATAGGGCAAAAAATATATAGATGGCTAGACTTAATAGTAAAAGTTCTATAAACCTATAAAGAAATGACATAATAAAATTAAGAGCAGAGTGAAACGATTCATAGCAGTATTATTCATATTAGCCAAAGCAGAATGTCCTTTAATCAATAAATGAACAAATAAAATGTGGCACGTCCCTTAAGTGACATATTAATTCATCCATTAAAAGGAAACATTAGACTATCTTACAACATAGATGAACCTGAAAAATATTATCCTCGGTGAAAGAAACTGAAGACCAAATACTGCATGACTCCATTTATATAAAATACCCAGAATATGCAAATACATAGACAGAAAGTAAATTAATGGTTACCAGAGGATACAGGGGAAAAGAAAGACTACTAACAAAGTACAGTGTTTCTTCTGGAATTAAAAAGTGGTGATGGCTGGAGAGCCCTCTGAATAAATCAAAAACCACTGAACCGCATATTTTCAAAAGATGACTTTTGGGCTGGGTGAGTTTTACCTCAAATTACCAAAAAGAAAAGTATATTAAGAGGCAAATGAATTTAAAAGGGTGCTGAAATAGCAGAAATGGATAGATTGAAAGACAAGCTCTAGATAAATTGAAGAACAAAAGCTGTAAGGAGTGAAGATGAAAACAGGAAAGACTAGAGACTCAAGTCAGAAAGTAAGATATCAGCATTCCAGATTTCAGAGATTAAAACATTCAGTGGTGAAGGCATAGAATTTTGGCCATGAAAACATATACAGAATCAGAATAGAGGTTACTACCCGGAAGTTAGAAAATAAAAGGGTCACAAAATTAAACCACATATACACTGCAGTTATTTAGAAGAAAGGAATGGCTTGGTAATGGATGCTATTTGTTAAATCCTTATTAGATGATACTGATGACTGGGGTTTAGCTGATTAACATAAGTTTACAGAGAGGGAAGATTTTTACCTAAAACTAAAAATGAATAAATGTCAAATCAGTCAAAATTTATCAAAGTAGTATCTTTAATTCATTCAACAGTTGTTTAATAAACTGTAGTTATGTCACAGGCACTATGCCAGAAAACTTATTTCTCGACTTCTTGAGAAATATCCTCTTACGTTTATTCATGTAAAATTGGGTATAAAACCAACTCTGTCATGTTACTATGAAGACTGGAGATTAATATAAGTAAAACACAGGACCTGATATATAGTAAACACACAACAAAAGAGGTTTTTCTTTTATTCTCTTAAATATAGCCTCTGGTTTCAAGAAGCTAAAAGTCCGTTGAAGATATATCATTTTTAACATTACTTTAGAACTTATCATTTGCTAAGTACAATGCTAAGCACTGAAACATGTTAACACAGCTTATTTTCATAATAACCATATAAGAACGATGCTCATTTTCTACACTTTGGATATGCAGAAACTGAGGCATAGGAGCTTTAAGTTACTTGCCCAAGACCAGAGAGCTTATTAAAAGCATTAGAGACAGAGTCAAAGGTATTTAACCTTACTCTTGGTTTTGAACTCTTTGCTAAAAGGCTATGTCACAACAAAAATTACAATAATATTGTAACAATTTTTATGGAAAAACATGAAAGAAACAATGTCATGCAGAAAAAGAACCTAAGTCTGATAGTACTGGAGCTACAACAGATTCAGATGCAACAGATTTGGAAACTATAGCTAGATGGCAACTATGATGCTCCCAGAATATTTGGCAGAATAAAAAAATTTTTATTATAAAGAAATTCAACTGATAAAGCACTACCCACCAGAAAGACTTGAACTACTAGTGGCATGTATTATAAGCAAAATAAATACAAGCTAAGTCATCAAGCTAGTTTAACTTGTTGGCGTGATTTAGCAGTTCCTGAACAAAGTTGTGAAATCACAAACTAGTCTTAGGCAACCCCTCCGGTTCCACTAGTCCTTCAATGCCACCACCTTCGATTATAACTATTTCTTGCTCCTCATAGGCTCTCTTCTCTATGCTCCCCATAATAGAGTCACAGGGAGTTAATGGAGTCCATTTGTTTCAATACTTTATAAATTCTGAGATCTTCCCACATACAAAGTATTTAATGATTTTAGATGCAGTTCTAGCCAAAGAAAATAAATATCCTTATTCTACTACTCTGATTCTTTAGAAAATCTTGTCCTTCTATATATTCTCATAAATGTACCAGAAAAGCAAAGCCACACCATCTGTTGCCTATTTCAAGGGATTAAAAACTGTTTCAAAAAGTGCTCAAAAATGGATATAATACCAAGGTAGAATATCAATATAAGTTTACATAGAAAATAAAATATTTTAAAACAATACTTTTGAAAATAATATCCTTGCCAAAAATTATAATAATTAATTTTTAAAAACACTTGTCTGGAAGCTTGTGGGTGCTTCCTGAGAAATTTCCAAGTGGCATGTGCTCTCCCACCATAACCCAAAAGTACACTGGTTACCAAAAACACTGAATTTAGATCAAGCATATGGGTTCTAACCCTGTTTTTTATCAATTCTAATTCAGTCATTTGAAGTAAACCCCTTTTACTTTCTGAGATTTGGTATCCTCATTTATAAAATGGAAATAAGATCACTCTTCCTACATACTTCACAGGATTATTACAAAACTTTTAAAAAGATACTGTATTAAAAAATAATAATAATGAATGGCTATAAACCAGAGACATGTTATGGGATGGAGTGGGGAATGGGATCAAAAACAGTGGGGGGAGGGAAGTGCACTGGACTATGGTAATGGCACATGGGTGATTTGGTGATGGGAAACCCAAGGGGATTGCAACTGAGATGGAAAAATGCAAAAAAATATGTAAAAATAAACTATTATTTTAAAAAATAAAATAAAAATAAATAAAATAATTTTTTAAATATGAATAATATATGAAAATGAGAATTATATATGAAAAAATATATTTTTTTTCATTATATATGAAAAATGAGAATTAATGTTTTAAAAAGTTAAATTAAATTTACCTTATCAAGCTTTAGTTCCAATTCTGCCACATCTCCTTCTACTTCTTCCAAAGCAGCCCTAAAAAGAAATTACAATAAAATTAATGTGTGCATTTAAATCTATATACTTTAATACATCTTGAAAAATAACTAGATAAAAAAGATATGAATGCTTCAAAAAAATATATTTCATGTAATGATTACCTTGAGATAAATATGAGCACTTCCTACTTCATACAACCATGCAATACATTAAGTAATGCAATTATTGTTTAAGGTAATTTGAGTATATATTAGGCTGATTTACTCAAAGCACCCATAGCAATCAAATTAATGAGCTATTTAACATATGCCTTGTATTAACGAGTAAGAAATTTTGAAAGTTGAGCCTCACAAAGATTCAGATTATCTGTTTAACAAAGCACATGGAACTAAACAGCAAAAGAGCCTAGCAACCAAAAAGTAAAGCTTTTACATTTAGAAATAACTCAGAAATAAACCCTTGTTTAATGTACCATTGTTTCCAATGTAATTTTAAGAAATCAGCAGTTACTCTTACTAATGGAAATGCTAAAATTATACTACTACTTAATTAGCACTTGATGCCCTAATACAAAGAAACTTTAGAATAAAACAGTAACAAATAAAACTTTTAAAGGATACTAAGACCTTAAAGAGTAATACATAACAAAATGCATACCTCTACTTTGTCATCTATGCTACTTAATATCTATTTCATACCTAATCAGTAAACATACAGAATGACCCACTTAATCCCAAATCACCTCTAAATAATCATTTTTATCAGCTCGTGATTCTACTTCTCCATCTGGTAACATCTATAGAAAAACATTTCTGATCGCCAAAAGAAGAAAATTATATAACTATAAAACATTCAGTAAAGCAATATCTATTGCATAAAATGAAATATGCTAGCATTCAGTTCAAGAAAAATAGGTGTAAGCATATGGCAAATCAATAAAATTCTGAATCAAAAAAAAAAGCAGGAGGTGCTAAACTTCCACAGTGTAGAAACAGAAATGCTTCTCCCCTAACCAAAAGTTTGTCATTTTCTTCATCTGTTTTTCAGAATACATATTGTTCTTGAGTCTAAAAAAAGCCCACTTTCCCTCACGTCCTTCATCTGCCTACTGCTATTCATCAGATAAAATTTAAATCACAAATGAAAACAAAGATGTGGGTACATGGATATCAGCTGTTTGCAATAAATTAGAAACCTGTAAGGTGGAGCAATAGGAAACAATGGTGTATCAATCCCATTATGTGTGGCATCAAGTCTTTACATAAAATTGATCTCTATTTACTTCATGACAACAATATATATGACAGACTACTACCTGAGAAGAGGAGGGAAATCAAGTTACAAAAACATACAGTATTAAAACATGAGGCCCTTCACTACTTCCAGACAATGCAAACGGCAGCACCCACCACTAGAGGCCCCAATGGGGCTCAGGCTGCTGGCACAGGCCAGCAGTAATGGCTGACAGCACAGGTTCTCCAACCATGTCACCCCAGGACATGGGACCCCATACTGACAGCTCATGTACTGTGCGACCTACAGCTACAGGCAGTAGAGACACCAGAGGATTTGGGTAATGGAATGGACTAATCAGGTGCAAGATGTTAGCTGACTGGTAAATGGTCCAATCAGACTGAAACGGGTCCACTCAGACTGGTTTGTGAGAGACTCTGAAAAGAGTTTATAAGGCACAGCAGGAGCCAGCTCAGACACCAGTTTAAAGGGCCTGAAGTGCTGCACTCTTGGGCTCTTGGAGACTTGCTCAGAGTTCCTTTGGACAGGATTTGCTCCGACTCTGGAAAGTTGAGGCACACTCACAGAGCCTGCAGCACTCTCACTGTTTGTTCAGACAGACTCACTCGCTTGGACTGGACAGTGCTCACTCAAACTGGACACTCAGACACATCCAGCAGCACACCTCCAGGGAGGAAGAGAAGCTGAAAAGCTTCGTGGAGAGACCAAAGAGTTCTGCAGAAGCTGGGACCGCTGCCTGCCTCAGCTTGCCTCTGACACCTGAAAGGAGCACCAGGTTTCGGGCCTGGTGTCTCGGAGTTGTTTGCTGTTGGCATGGGCCAACAACTCACAAAGAGTTAGTGATCAGGTGACCAGCACCACTGGCCAGTGCTGCCTAGCACTGTTGACTAGTGACTGACACACTGTGTCCAGGTCACGTGTGAGAGCTGTTAACTGTCTGGTGGCATCACGCCCTGAGGAGACCATCCAACCTTCAGACTGGCTGTGGGCTGCTGCCGCATCATCTCAGCCGCCCTGCCTCTGAGCACCTCCAGCTGCAGTGAGCTGGAACCTAGCCCACCTCTTGCCACAGGCCCCATGCCCTCGTTGACCGGACATCACCATATAAGATGAATAGCTTTGTTCAGGACTTTTGCACTCCATGGACAATAACTAGGATGAGACAGCCAGCCACTTGTGGTTTACAGATGCTTTGTTTTTTCCCTTTTGTTATGTAAACCCCATTGTGTTCCCTGTGTCTGAGTGCTCTTGCATTTTGTGCACCAGTGAAGAGCCCACAAAGAGTGCCCCCTCTCTATTGGCCACTGTCATTTGGATGGCTATAGCTCTCCTTATAGCCCATTTCAGTATGAGGCCAATTTTGTGGAGGGGGGTAAGAGGTTGTGGGAGGGAGAAATGGAGAAATGTTGATGCATGCATAAGTATAAAACCCTAATGTGTGTCTGTATATATATATATAGAAGTAAGTGTAGATATCACCCTCCCAGTCAAGAAAGGCTGGTCCCATACTCCTCCAGTGCCCCTAAAACTCCTCATGCATATCTCTATCATCATTCCCTGCTTTTTCTAGTCTTAGCTCCCTAAAGCAGGATACTCAAAATGTTGAGTCAAGGATGAAACTCCAAATTATTTAATGTCAGAAAATGTCTTCACTTGCACTTTTAACTTTATTTAATTCCACCAAACTCAGTCTTTCATCTCTTTCAAACAAATTAATTGAAATGAACAGTTAATCACCTGTTTCTGCAAGCATACAGTTTAATTGAAACTTCATGTGCATTCCTCAATTTTATTTCATTCGCTGTGCAACTGTACTACTTTACTTTTGTGAAACACCACTTTTAAATAGAGGTAAAAATTATGTACAAAAAAGAGGGGAATGGGGCCCCCCTTGGTGTTCCAAGGAGTTAAAGCGCAGCTCTGTGAAGCTATTCTCAGCCACCACAGCAATAGCTGGATCCCTCGCTGACTCACAGGACAGCAGACCTCTCCTATCTCTCTTGTCTCGCCTGCTGCTCCCCTTCAGCAGTGTATTTCTGTCAGTCTGCCTGTTCTGCTCCCTGGTAAATCCTCTCAACGCTCCACCCCCTCACCTGTGGCCTGTAACAGTTCTTATATGCATAAATAAATAAATCTTTTTTTTTAATGAGGGAAATGGATTTTAATTATCATTTAAAAAATATATTCAAAGATTCTAAAGGTTTATCTTGGAGATCCTTCAATTCAACATATCACCTCAAAAAAATTTGTCTTTGGTCAGGTGTATGTGGAAACTTGCAGCAATTAAGTATCTAAAAAATAAGGCCTCTTGTTGTTTACTGAATATTTCTTAGTATATAAAGAAAAATACTATATTGAGCTTCACAGCTCAAGTAACTTAATCTGTTTTATGTAAATTTATTTTTTATAAAATGAGGAAAGAAATATCTATTTTAAAGGGTTATAAAAATTAAATAACTATATCACTGACCATATTATATACTACGACATACCTTAGGTGACCAAAGACAAATATTGTTTGAAGTGAAATGTTGAAGAATCTTCAAGATAAACTTTCAGAATCTGAATATATGAAAACAGAGGACTCTAAGTGTAAATGATAATTAACAGAGGACTCTAAGTGTAAATGATAAACACACTGCTTTCTCCTTTCTCTTACCCCTGCATACTTAGATGAATTGTACCACCTATTATTTCTATTCATTAGTGGATGTGAACCAAACTGGAACATATTTAATAAATGAATAAATAAGTGAAATAAAACAATACAACAGTCCTTCAAATATTGGATAGCATTACTATCTCTTTCAAAATCCCTGAAACATTTACTGAGCATAACTTTTATAAATACACAAGGTTGTTAAAAGTAGCCATTATTTTAAACCTTAACCCTGTATAGCTTAAACTGTAATAATAAACAATTATAATTTTTTATAATTTTTATTATATTAAAATTTAAGTTACACAAGAAAACAAGTAGCAAAATGTAACATATTTTTGAAAATATTTAAAAAGACATCAGTCAGCAAATCTCACAGTAAACTATAGCATCCAGTCAACTCCAGCCAGAACTTATTACTGAACACTGAATTAAAATGTTTTTATAGGGCCCTCCCTAGTGGCACAGAGGGTTAAAGCACAGCACTAAGAAGCTAAAGCCACTTCAGCATGAGTTCAACCCCTGCCCCAGAGGTGATCCACATGGCACAGCAGATCTCTCCTGGACCGCCCACTGCCCCCTCAGCAATATACTTCATCAATCAGACTGTTCTGCTCCCCACTCTGTCTATGGTGGGTCCTCTCACCGCCCCTGCACCTCTGGCCTGTACCCCAGTTCTGTATGCATAAATAAATAAATATTTTTTAAAAAATGTTTTTACATCTTTACATTCAAGAAAATGTATGACACATGAAATTACATTAAATTCAAATTTCAGTGTCCATAAATAAAGTTTTATGGAAACAGCTCATTCATTTACATTTTGCCAAAGCAGCTTCCATGCAATATTAATAGAAGAGCTGAGTAGTTAAGAGAGACCAGATGGCCCAAAAGTATAAAATATTTATTACTATTTACCCCTTTACATAAAGTTTGTTGATTCCTTATGAATATCAAATATAATAACATTAAAAAATATGCAAGAACATGAGTGAAAATTCTCATATATGAAATATAGATATATAAGAAAATAATTTTTAGAATTTTGCCCTCAATGACTGGACCTTAAGAAATTGAAGAAGCCTGAAACTCAGAAATAGTCTATTTTTATTAATAATAGTTT